AGAACCAGAAGTAATGCCAACCACCCCAGCAAACCAAGGCATATAAATAACAAGCGGGACAGAACACCGATGCTTCATGATGGCATACTGACAGTGTTACCTAGTAGGGTGACGAAACGTCTGCAACCAAACCCACCGGCTCGGCAAGCAATTCTACAATCTTGTACTTTGCACTATCTAGAGCACTGCAGCGTGAATAGATACCTTTGCATGGTGTACGAATCCTTTTGCTGTCTCCTGAGTAGGTCTGTTTTTTTTAAAATTTGCCTTTTAGTTTTATATTGAGGGAATATGTCCATGTGAAGCAAGATGCATATGACTGAATGAGTAGGAGCTTATTTGGAGGCAACTTCTTCGAAGAAAAATGTAAACTGGTTGAAAGCTTGGTAATTTCTCTTTCTTGTAGAGATACTCTGTTGGAAACTGTCAAAGCATTATCACACTAGGAAGGAGGAGGTCCTTGCAAAGAAACAGAGGTGCTTATTACTAAGACGGATGACAATTTTTACAGTGACTGTCTGACACTTTCCAACTGAGTGATCGATAACATCAATAGAAATCTGTTGGAAAACCATCTTGGCTGTTGCCACAGAAACAACAGAATTGGCATTCAGCATCCCTGAATGTGTTTTATGTTGGATATCTCAGGTACATTTTGAGATATCTCAAGATGTCAAGTATATTTGCCCTTTTTTTTTTAAAAGCCCTGCAACACATTTTCATGAATTGTTTGAATGTGTATTATATATTGGCCTGTGGTGTTGAAGACACTAAGACATAACCATGTATTCTGTTTTTAGTATTCGGTTTAAACATTTCAGGGAAAAACTATTTGCCTTGCCTTGTTCTCACTCTGCCTTCTTCCTCCTGCCTTTTTTTCTCACTCTATCTTATTTCTCTCTTATTCCTTTTCCCCATCCTTTCTCTATCTGCCTGTCCTTCCCTCAGCTTGTCTCACCCAATGCCTCTTTTTCACTTAATTGCTCTCTGTTTCACCAAACTCCTTTTACTCTCTTGTTCCATTTGCCTCACCTGGGCATAATGGTAGTTCAGTGGTTAGCACTGCTGCCTCACAACGCACACGGGGAGAATGTCTGTGTGGGTTTCCTCCATGTGCTCCAGGTTCCCCTCTCAGTTCCAAAGATGTGCAGGATAGGTGGATTGGCCAAGCTAAGTGGGCAATGCAGGGTTCCAAGGATAGGATGAGGGAGTGGATGTAGATGGGATGCACTTGAAGGTTGATGTGAACTTGATGCGCTGAATGGCCTGCTTCAACACTGTAGGGATTCTGATTCTTTGGTTGTTACTTGTTCCCTGCCTTCTGCCTCTCAATTCCTGCTTTTCCCCCACCCACCTGCCCTACTCTACAGATGCACAGATTTTTCTTATCCAAACCCCACCCCCACCCAATTAGGTTTAAATTTGATCTGAGCTTTGGTTGTGCATTTTATTTCTACGTGAAGATAATATCGGCACAATATTGATGTTGAAGGGAAGTTGACCGCTTCATGTTATGGTGGAAAGTGTTTTCCTTTTTAAATGTCTTGTTGTACTGGAGCATGAAAATGACAGTTGTCGCAAACCTTGGTTTTAATGCGTCTGCTGTACGTGTATTTGCTGAAGACTAAGTGAGCTGCAATTAAATACAAATCCTAATTATTAGCTACCACCAGTTAATAGAAGACAAATTATTCCTTATCTGGATTGCCAGTGAGCTGACAACAAAAATAATTTCGTCGCATTAGTGATGAAATATGATCATTAAATGCTCAGTAAAGATAACTTAAATGGTTTTCTTTAAAATGCATTGCTATCTGTATGCATTGTATGAAGGCTTATGCATTAAACTAGGAGATTACTGGATGCATAAAATAACTATGTTTTTATTATTCACTGGTTTCTTTATATTTCCTACCTTTCTCTGCCAATATTCTTCCTTTCTTCAGTATGTTAGGAGAGCTATGTGAAAGGAAATTGCCTAATTCTTAATGAAATTTCTCATAATAAAGCCGTATGGTGGCTCCTTGCAAGATTGTTTTTAGTTTCTATTTATGTCTCCTGGTTTACAATAAAAAGTTGTAACTTCACATATTTTGATTATGCACTGACTTCTTTACATTTTTTTTTGTTCACACGAACGTTCTTCCTTTCCTGGAGTGTGAATCTATGAATTATAATCACTGCCCATTATCTCTAGTGGCCAGTCTTCATGTATTTAGTTCTGACTGAGTGTTAACAGGTTTTGTGATTGTGGGTATCATGAAGAAACACCATCCTGTCCTTGCATAGTGATCAGCATGTTTGAATTTCCAACAGAGGATTTGGCAGTTAAACCTTGGCTGATTATCCTCATCCTTGTCATGCAGGTAGCACCTGTATAGCTGTCCAAGCTGTGATCAACAACCTGCCGCTCATTGGATCCACCAGTGGACTGTTCAAGGAACTGTATTTTACTTGGGCAGGTTATTCATACACTGAAAAGCTTTACAAATGGAGTTTGCAGCAAAGAAAATCAGTTCTTACTTTCATTATAAAATCTGTTTTGCAGGAGTACACTGTACACATGGCTTCAATCGAACTGGGTTCCTCATTTGTGCTTACTTGGTGGAGAAAATGGATTGGAGGTAATTGATTTTCATAATTTTAAAGTACATTTGAGATTATCAACAGATATCAATAATGCCAAAAAAATTTTTTTATTCATGAAACTTCTCAATTTCAGGATGTTGCAAGTGTTTGCGTGTATTTTGTTTCTTCTTGTATGCCATGGTTAAAAATTTTGCTAAAAGGAGAACATTGCTTTTCATCATACACTTGCCAGGATTAGAACACAAACAAAAACAGATTTGGAAAATCAACGCCAATTTGTACATCAGGAGAAGAGATGCTGATTTATTGGGCCATCGTTGGTATGGATTTGCAGCAGGGACAGTTAACTGTCGGTCTTATTTCTCAAACCAGCTGGTAGACTTTGGTCAGGGGGATGCAGCAGAGACTGGCAGTCTCCATGACACTTTCACAGTGAGAAAAGTGCAATGTATGTGCAAATTCTTTGTGCCTACATAAAACGGGAACGTGTGTTAATGTCTTGCACCTAGCACATCCAAATGCAACTGTGAGTCCAGCTGCCAATCTTAAATTAGATTCTGGTGTAATTTTTTGCGCAGACTTTTTCAGTACATGTTGTCCAAAAGCGGAATTGCTTCTAATGTTGGACACGGTGTTCTGAGGCTTGCAGGATTGAGCTTGTTGAGCACAGTCAGATGCTGTTCACTGCAAACGGTCAATGGGATGTTTAATACAGTCTGCCATTGGTTGGGATATATGTAACTAATGGGGCAAAAGGCCGGTAAGTCCCCTGGACCTGAAGGGTTGCAACTTGGGGTTTAAAGTAGATAGTTACAGAGATATTTGATGCATTGGTACTAACCTTTCAAGAATCTGTAGATTCTGGAAGAGTTCCAGAGGATTGCAAAACTGCTAATGTAGCAGCCTTATTCAAAAATAAATGGAAACAAAAACAGGTAACTGTATGCCAGTTAAGTTAACATCTGTTGTTGGGTAGATGTTACAATCTGTTATAAAGGAAGTAATGGCTAAGTATTTAGAAACCCATAATATATTCAAGCAAAGTCAGGATGGCTTCATGAAGGGGAAATTGTGCCTGACAAATTTTCTGCAGCTCTTTTGAGGAGGTAGTAAGCATTTTAAATAAAGGGGAGCCAGAAGATGTATTTTATGTGGATTTCCTGAATGCATTTGATAAGGTACGGCTTATAAGCAATAGCTACTTAAGAAATAACCCTCTGTTCTGAGGGTCACCGGACCTGAAACTTTAATTCTGTTTTTCCCTTCACAGATGCTGCCAGACCTGCTGGACTTTTCCAGCAACTTTGTTTTTGTTAAGAAATAACCTGTTGTATTGGTGGTGGTATAATATCATGGAGAGAGGATTGGCTAATTAATAGCAGACAGAAAGGTGGGATAAAAAGAGCATTTTCAGGCTGACAACCTGTAACTTGTGGATCCATGCTGGAGCCACAATTATTTACAATATATAGTAATGACATGGACGAGGATAGTGAATGTACTACTGCTAAGTTTGCAGGTGACACGAAGCTAGGTGGGAAGGGAAGTAATGAGGATATCATGAGGAGTTGACCGAGAGATCTAAACAGTTTATAAATATGATTTTTTTGTTTTTTTTTTTCTTTAGTTTTGTGTTCCAATTCTTTTACTCTTAGAACTTTATTTGAATTCCCTCCGCAGTAATAGATTGATACCAGAGTTTGTACTTGTTGCAGTGGTAGGAAAAAATTTAAACAAAATTGAATACTGTTAAAATATGTCTTTGGTAAGATTTGCAAACAAAACTTGAATTTCTGGTCACGTCTTAGTGGAATAATATCTAATGTCTAATTTCAAAATGGCTGTTGCAGGGTAACGCTTCCTATTCAAAAGCTAGGTACTTTGGAGTTTCATAGATATGCAAATTTTAGACGTTGAAAAATTATTTTGTGCCCCAAATTGTACATTGAGGGCAATATTTTGATTGTCGGGTGCTGCATTTTATTCTCTCTAATTCCTTTTTTAACTGATACAATCACACAGTAACATTACTTTCTGCGTTTGCGGTGACGTATAGGTCATTGGAACTTGCACAGAATTCTGAATTAGAAAAAATTATGAATATCCTCAATTACAAATCCTATTTTAATTTAAAGCCACACAGCACAAGGCAATTTTTAACTTTCTAGAAAGCTTAGATTTTTTTTTTTTTTTTTTTTTGGAAAATAATTGCCAGATACTACTTTAGCATAAAAGGCCATTTGGCTAAACACCTAATGCAAATTGGGGAAGTCACAGGGAATGCACTTCCAACACATCTTCACAAAATCGGAGTATTTTAAACAGACAGTTATGATCCTTTTTAAATGCATCTCCGATCTCAATCTCAGATGTAAATTTAATTACAGTTGACAGTTTATTACAATAGAAATCACTATAGTGTTCCTTCTTGATTAGCTCTGAAACAAATGAAGTTTTAAACTCCAGGATGCCACACTGATTTTGTAAGTAACTCATTACCTTAGTGATATCAAGTTTTCATAGCTGTGTGTTCCTTTTGTCAGGAATTTTGGAGAATGAGATCAGCTCTCGTTCTAATTTATGAAGTTCTATAGCATGATGAGGTGGATGTAGATTGAATGCCTGCCCTGACTTATGACTCCAGTTTTTTTTAAATATTCATTTTTGGGGCATGGTTTGTTGCCTGTCTCTAGTTGCCCTTGAATTAGGGACATAGCCTCAGTGTAAGGGAAGACTATTAAGACTCATGAGGAGCTTTTATTTACTCAGGAATTTTCTCCCTGGATCATTGTGGAAGCCCAGTTGGTGACCATGTTCAAAACAGAAATAAATTGATTTCTGGAGTCTAATGATATCTAGTGGTGTGGAGATTGTGGAGGAAACTTTTTTTGAGGTAGTTGATCAGCAATGATCTAATTGAATGGTGGTGCACACTGAGCCGAAAAGCCTACTTCTGTTATGCTTTAATTTGACCAGTCACTGATTCTTATTTTAGGAACTGACTGGATTATTTATTGCTGACATTATTTTGATTTTTAAGAATTTCAAACTTGATTGCAATTTGTTTTATTTTAAACTGACTGTCTTATACTAGACAAGTGACTGTTGTACTTTTCCGTTATTTAGCATTGAAGCAGCTGTTGCTACTTTTGCTCAGGCAAGACCTCCTGGCATTTATAAAGGGGAATACCTGCAAGAACTCTTCAGTCGCTATGGTGAGGTTGAAGATGCTCCTCCTCCACCAGAAAGACCAGATTGGTGCTTTGAGGATGACGATGAAAACGTTGATGATGATGGTTGTAGGATCAGTAAAGACTCAGAACCTGGGTCTTCAGGCTACAACTCATGCAAAAGGAGAAAGGAGCGAATTAAATTGGTAAGAATCTAATTGCAAGGATTTGGAGAGGAGCATTAAAGCCAATCAAAATTAGGTTTATCCATCAATACTGGTTGCATATCTATAATTAGTTAGATGTTTTCTTCATTATTGATTTATAGCCCTATAAAATTAATCAATAAGTTTAAAGTTTGATTTAAACGGGTAGAATCCGAGTAGAAGAAAACCTAGATTGAATAAATACATTTAAGCTCATCAAGTTCATCCAATTTCCACTTACTTGGAGTATATATTTTAAATACTACAAAACATTTGGTCGCTAATGTAAATCTCATTAGTTCATTCAAGTTAAATGGGCCGAAATGCTAGACAAACTGCCTTTGTATTATTGATGAATGAACATTAAATGCAACTCAATATTGCAAAAATCACTACCAATAGTTCTAATCGAAGCAATATATCAGGATTGGATAAATCTGACCCTTCTCAGCCCCCATCTCCGATCTTGTGTAATGTATATCTCATAACATTAGATTGTGTTCCACTAGATGCCTTTAAGATTTTATACAAAATTGGGTAAATTTAATCTAATCCAACTGGCAGCAAACTGATGAGATCAGTTCGAGCCATCTTTTTACATACAGTTTGACCTTGCTGTTCATTGACCCTTGTTCTAACACAGATTTACTACAGTTGTTTAATTTTCTCAAAAGGGAGCAATTTTTCTGGAAGGCATGCTAGTTAAAGGAGTGACGCAAATCACAATCCTGTCCAAGTTATCAGAGATCCAAAGAAAATGTCAGCAGTTCTGTGGATGGGAAAGGTAAGTGGCTTTCTTGTGTGGGCACTCTACCTACTGTAGAATAAAAACGTAAAATACTGAAAATACATAGCAGGTCTGGGAGCATATGTGGAGAGAAACAGAGTTACCTACTTCTAAAATAAGGTCACAGATTCTCAGTTTAGCTCTGCTGCTGTCAAATGTTCTGTTTCTGTTTTTAATTTCAGATTGCCAGCATCTTCTGTATATTTTGCATTTGTATTTCATGCAGTAGAAGCCTTTTTATCACGTTCCCCTGAATTAGCGAGCTTTCCCTCTGGCATTAATAATCCAGATTATTAATTTTGATCAATTAGTTTTGTTTTATTTGTTTGCAGTTAATCTGTAACTGTGGATACTTGAAGTTTTAATTACACAAGTATTCATTTTCATTTAAAAATCACTGGTGAGGAATTATTTCATGGGCACTCCATGACCAAGCAATGTGTTAGGCTGAAGTCCACTTGCTAGGAAGCTCTTTGCACAAACCTTTGTGTTAGTTATGAGATTGTGTGTTCCTTCCATTTATTGAAAAAGAAATGTTTGACAGTACAAGTAGTTCTGCTATAATGTGTGTTTTGTTAATGCAAATTGGCTGTAATGCGATTGAATGGCGGATGCTGTTTGGATAACACAGACTTTCTGCTGTACAGGTATAGTGATTTTTCTGTATCAATTTCCCTATAACACGATTTTCTATAATGTGATTTTCTATAGTGTGAGGTCACGCACGAATGCAATTATTGCGTTATAGGAGAACTACCTGTATTAGCCATTATAATTACTGTCTAGATTATCAGTCATAGTTGCACATGCAAAATGTGTAAACTGTTGTTTAAAGGACTGTGATGACAATAGAAACAAAATAGTAAATATATAAATATAAAAATATTCAGAAGCCTCAATTGCATCTATGGCGACAGCAGGGCTAATGTATTAGGTGGTGATGACCCTCCATTGGAATTCAGGAAAGATAGAAATGACTTGGGTTTTGATAAAATTGAAAGGGGGAGGCTTTGGAAGAACAAAGAGGAAGGTCTATGATCGGCCAAAGGCAGGAGAGAGCTTTAATGCCAAAACGTTTCATCGTACAGAAACCAAAGGGAATTGTAATGGGTAATGTAACAAAACAAGAGATGTGTTCAGAGGATATGTGAATAGCTGAATAGCAACTGTGTGAGTGCAATGTGACGGACAGAGAAAGAAGTGAGGCAAACCAAACTAGCCATTTGCATCTCTTGTCGACACCGTAAAGTAAAAACAAAAAACTGTGCATGCTGGACATCTGACATTAAAACAAATGCTTGGAGTACTTGGGCTTGTGAACAACTATGGAAAGAGAAACAGAGTTACTTTTTGAATTGAATATAACATATTCATAGCTCTGGGCTTTTTGAAATCTAGTGGTATTTACGCCTTTGAAATGGGAAGTTAGGGTTGGAAGAACAAAAGAGTACATCTTGGGTTTGGGACGAAAGGGTGAGAGATTAAATGGCAAACATACCATGGAGCAAAAGGAACTTTTAAAAATTCATTCATGCGTTGTGGGCATCACTAGCTAGGCAAGCATTTATTACCAATCCATAAATTGCTTAGAGGGCAATTGAGAGTCAACCACAGTGCTGTGGATCTGAAGTCACATGTAGGCCAGACTGGGTAATGATGGTAAATTCCCTACCCTAAAGGAAATGAGTGAATTGGATGGGTTTTTTTGTGGCAATTGACAGTGGTTTCCTGGTCATCATTAGATTCTTATTTCCAGATTTTTATTGAATTCAAGTTCCACCATCTGCAGGATTTGTTACCCAAGTCCCCAGAACATTACCTGGATCTCTGGATTAATAGTCTAACGATGACATCACTAGGCCATCGCCTACCCAGGTTACAGTAAATGGTTGTAGTAATGGTTGACATAAGGAAAGAAAGCAACAATTTCACGGAATGGCCTCCGGACCCCATTTTGTTTTTTTTTTGCTGTTTGCCAACTAAAATCTAGTTTTTCATGTTCTTTTTTGCTTTCAAACAGAGCTGTTAATTATTCTACCAATCACACTTGGGATCAATGCTTCGTTACTTTACAGTGACCATTACCACTCCTTTTGCCTTTTGTTCCATGACATTTTATCATTTGATCTCTCCCGCTGTCTGTTCTATTCCAGATCTTCTTTTTTGTTCTTCCTTCCACCAACCATAAGACCTGAAGAATTTCTGTTACGTTGTTCTCCCTTCCAAAATAAACAACTTTTCATTTCCCCACATTTATACTCCGTTTGCAAATTTTTGCCCTTTTATTTAACCTTTCAATATCTCTGTAAACTGTTTATAGCTCTCGCAACCTGCTTTTCCACCTATTTTTGTGTCATCTGCAAACTTGGCTAGAGAACATTTGCTTCTTTTTTCCAAGTCCTAATTATATGTTGTAAACAATTGTGGTCCTAGCTCTGATCCCTGTGAACCCACTGGTCATAGGTAATAAATGTGAAAGTAAACCCCTAGCTCCACTCTGTTTCTTGCCCTTAGCCAGTTCTCTATCAATGCCAATATCCTACCTCCAACACAGTGGGCTCTTATGACAACCTTTTGTGAGATACCTGGTTGAATGCCTTCTGGAACTCCAAATACAGCACCTCTACTGGTTCCCCTCTGTCCACTTTGATTGAGACTTACTCTCAAAATTCTAGTAAATTAGTCAGACACGACTTCCCTTTTATGAAGCCATGCTGACTTTGCTTGATTAGATTATGATTTTCCAAATGTTTTGCTATTACTTAATAATTGGTTCTAATACTTTTCCGACAATAGATGTTTGGCTGATCGACTTGTTGTTACTGGCTTTTTGCTTCCTTTGCTTTTGAGTAGTTTCCCTATCCTTTCGTACTTCTTGAGCATCCAAGAATTTTGGAAAATTAGACCAACGTGTCCCCTGTCTCTGTAGCTACCTGTTTTAAGATCCTAGCATGCAAACCAACAGGGCTAGAGGACTTGTCTGCCTTTAGCCCCATTAGTTTGTCCAATCCCACTTCTCTAATGATGATGGTACTTAATCCTTCCCCCTTATTCTTTAGTGTTAATGGGATATTCAAGGTATCTAACGCTAAGAAGAATGATGCAAAAGATCTGTTTGACTCCTTTTGCCATTTCCTTGTCATAGAATCATACAGCATGGAAACAAACTCCTGGTCCAACTTGTCCATGATAACCAGACTTCTTGATTGTGTCCTAGTCCCACTTGCCAGCATTTGGCCCGTATCCCTCTAAATCCTTCCTATTCATTATTCCCATTCAGATGCCTTATCAATGTTGTAATTGTACTGGCTTGTTCCATACATACACCACCCTCTGTGTGAAAAAGTTACTGTTCAGGTCCTTCTTAAATCTTTTCCAAGTCACCTTAAACCCATGCCTTCTAATTTCGGACACCCCCACCATAGGAAAAAGACCTTGGTTATTCACCCTATCGATGATTTTATAAACCTCCATAAGGTCACCCCTTAGCCTCTGACGGTCCAGAGAAAAAAGCCCCAGCCCATTTCAGCCTCTTCCTATGACTGAAACTCTCTAGTCTTGGCAATATCCTTGTAAATTTTTTTTGCACTCTCTCAAGTTTAATAATATCTTTCCTATAGAAGGGTGACCAGAATTGTATGCAGTATTCTAAAACTGGCCTCGCTGATGTCCTGTACAGCTACAACATGACATGTCAACTCCTATATTCAATGCTCTGACCAACGAAGGCAAACATGCCAAATGCCGCCTTCACCACCCTGTCTACCTGCGACTCCATTTTCAAGGAACTATACAACTGCACCCCTAGGTGTCTTTGTTCGGCAACAGTCCCTATGGCCCTACTGTTCACTTTATAAGTCCTGCCCTGGTTTGCCTTACCAAATTTAACATCTGTCACTCTGTTGGCCTGCTTAAACCTGGAATTTTATGATTCTGAGATGAGATTGCTAAAAACTAAGCCCCAGTTGTTCCCATAACCATCTCTCTCATTCATTTTCTAAGGGCCTATATGCACCTTGACCTCTTTCATCCGTTTTATCTATTTTAAAAGAGCTCTTGTTAGTTCTTATATTCCTTGCCAGTTTACCCTTGTAATTTCTTTTCTCTTTCTTTATTATGTTTTTAGTACTCATTTGCTTCAAAGGTATGAAGTTGATCACGTTTCTACCTTCGCTAAAAACAAATGCAGTTCACTTCTAAAGGAGAATTGAATTGGACTTTAAAATATGGCTTTATTTCTCTTTGCACAGATGCTACTTGGTTTTTTTTGTACTACTTTGTTTTTACTTCAGATGTCGGCTATCTGCATTATTCTTCTGTTTTATGGCCAGATTTTTATTGTCCATCCCTAATTGTCCAGAAGGCAGTTAAAAATCAGCCACATTTCTGAGAGTCTGGAGTTCCATATAGGTCAGAATTGATGAGGGTGGCAGATTTCCTTCCTTCGTGAACAGAGATGGGTTTTTACAGTGATCACAACATGGTTACCATTAGGTTAGCTTTTTATTCTAGATTTATAAAACTTCTAAAAATTTCACCATCTGCTACGATGGGATTCAAATTTATGCCCTAGAACATTAGCCTGGGGTTCTTGATTACTAATCCAGTGACATTGCCACTAAACCACAACCTCCCCAGATGAGATGTGAATGGCTTGGTTCCCTTTGTTTTATTTCTTCCTTTACTCTTTAATATTGCACCAGACCGCTTCAGTGTAGCCATTCGTACTCCATTTAGGCATATATTTTGTTTTTTCATTTTACCCTTTGGCTTCTGTATCATGCAACCTTTTGGTATTTACTCTCTTCTGCCCTCCACCTTTTCTGTTGTTCATCCAGATTCTCCCTTGTTCACTTTACTCAAAACACAGTGCACTTCTTACTTTAATAAAAGCAAAATATACAGATGGTGGAAATTTGGAAAAAAAAACCCCAGAGAATGCTGAAGAAACTCAGCCTCTGTGGGGAGGGGAACAGAGTTAATGTTTCGAGTCTGGTATGACTTCTTCAGAACTTCTTTCCTCAGTTTTGATGAACAGTGACCACAACTTGAAACTTGAACTGTCTGTTGTCAGCTACAATCTGATCTGCTGAGTGTTTCCAGCATTTTCTGTTTTTTATTTCAAAATTTCCAGCATCTGCAATATTTTGCTTTTGTAAGAAAATAAAGCCTGTCTAACTGCGCTGTGCTGGGTGAAATTTTTATTCTACTATCTAATTGATTTAAAAGGGGTATCGGTCACTTACATGCTTGCTAAACTTGTTGCCTAAATTATTAGTTTGTTATCCATTATGCTCACATTGAGAACTGTTTGAAATGGTAGAAAATTTTGAATTTCTATTGCATTTTTAATCAATAGCATTCACTATCTAAGGAGGAAAATGTAATCCTGAAGTGGTGGATCTTCGACACACTGAGAATGGCTTTTTAGAATGAATCCCTAGATCAAGCTGTAAGATGCATATATTTTGCATTTTGTTTTCTATCTGTCTGGTAATAGAATTTCTGTTAATCCAGGGCAGGATTTCCTGGAGCACAGCCTGTTTCCATGGACAAACAGAATATTAAATTTCTCGAACAAAAGCCATATAAAGTCAGCTGGAAAGCAGATGGGGTACGGTGAGTATTTGTTTGCTTTGAGATTTTCGGATCATTTGGATTTGAAACCGTAACTTGCTGTTCATTTTTGCTTGTAGATTACATTTCATTGTAACAATATGTAGAAACTGTTGTAATATCTTGAACATTTTAATACGTTACCTATTGAATAAAATGTCTTGTATGCAATGCATGTTGTGATTTAAATTTTATTTACAGTATGAAAATAACTTGTTTTGATTTGGACTGTTTGTTAATTCAACTAATCATTGTTATGACCGGGTGAGGAGGGATAAGATGTCTCTCTTCTTTTCCCAATCTTTGTTTGATCTCAGCAGGTTGTATTTTGGAAAAGCTGGTTAATTCCTCAGAACTGGACACTGGACCCGAAATGTTAACTCTTGATTTCTCTTCACAGATGCTGCCAGACTTGCTGAGCTTTCCAACAATTTCTGTTTCTTGTTTCTGATTTACAGCATCCGCAGTTCCTTTTGGTTTTTATTTAAGTTTCCTTTCGATTTTTTTTTCTTGTAAAAATGAATATGATCATATTTATTTCTTTAACCTACTTTAAGATAAAAATGATCTATCTTACAGTCTTAAAGTTATTACAAATGCTCCAAGTTCAAACACAAATGGATTACAAAGTCGGAGGGTAGACTAAGAAATTTAAAGGATATAGAACTTTTGAGGGTTGCCGTGACTGATCTTGGATGTTTTACTGAGTGAGGTATCACGGCAGTTTAGAGAGAGAGATGGATGACTTATCTGTTGTCTTGAAGCTAGCTGCTATGTTGAGTTATTTTTAAAATTTCTATCGGTGGCATATTGGAAAGTTTGGGTGGGGTGCCACCGGGATCGGTACTGGGACCCCAGCTATTCACAACATATATTAACGATTTGGATGAGGAACAAAATGTAAGTTCTCCAAGTTTGCAGATGATACCAAATTGGGTGGGAGGGCGAACTGTGACGAGGATGCAGAGATCTTTCAGCATGATCTGGACAGGTTGGGTGAGTGGGCAAATCAATGGCAAATGCAGTATAATTTGGATAAAAATGAGATTATTCACTATGGAAGCAAAAACAAGAAGGTAGATTACTATCTGAACGGCTGTAAATTGGGAGAGGGGAGTGTGCAGCAGGACCTGGGTGTCCTTGTGCACTAGTCACTGAAGGTAAGCATGCAGGGCAGCAGGTGGTAGAGAAGACCAATGGTATGTTGGCCTTCATTGCGAGAGGTTTTGAGTACAGGAGCAGGCATGTGTTGTTGCAGTTATACAGGGTCTTAGTGAGGCCACACCTAGAATATTGTGTGCAGGTTTGGTCTCTTTTTCTGAGGAAGGATGCTCTTGCTCTCGAGGGACTGCAGCGAAGGTTTACCAGGCTGATTCAAGGGATGGCGAGACTGACTTATGAGCAGAGATTGACTAGGTTAGGATTGTTTTTGCTGGAATTCAGACGAATGACGGGGGGGAAAATCTCATAGACACTTAAAAGCCTAACAGGACAAGACCGGGTGGATGCAGGGAGGATGTTCCTGATGGTGGGTGTGTCCAGAACCAGGTTTGCAGTCTGAAGATTCAGGGCAGACCAGTTAGGACAGAGATAAGGAGACATTTCTTCACCCAGAGAGTGGTGACCCTGTGGAATTCATTACCACAGGAAGTAGTCAATGCCAAAACATTGAATGTATTGAAAAGGCGACTAGATATAGGACTTGGGGTGAGTGGGATCAAAGGTTATGGGGAGAACGCAGATTAGGCTATTGAGTTGGACGATCAGCGATGATTGTGATGAATGGCAGAGCAGGCTGGAAGGGCTGAATGGCCTCCTGGTGCTCCTATCTTCTGTTTCTATGTTTTAAAAAGAAACAGTTAGGATTTGAAACTTGAAAGTTGTTTGAAGAGTGACTAACAAGGCTGAAAGCCTTGTCAAATGCTTATGTTGATTTGCAGAGAAAATAAACAGTGTTATCTTGTTTGTCACATTGCCCATGCATCTATCACAAATATACTTGTGGTATAATGTCTAGGAGCCTGGCTTATTTGACGAAGGGTCACTGGACTCAAAATGTTAACTCTGCTTTTCTCCCCACAGATGCTGCAAGACCTGCTGAATTTCTTCAGCACTTTGTTTTTATCTGGCCTACTTGATCAGATTAAGTCTGGATATAATCCTTTCATAGCCAGAGTCCTGTTGTCTAAGTGATGAGGTTTTAACAGTTTGAATCCATCCAGTTGAATATCCAGCTGATTGTCTGGATGCTTTGCAGGTGGGTTAGGAGATGGTCCTGATTGATAGTCATTTAAAGTAGTTGTATCTGTTGAAGATTTGTGGACAGGTATGTGCCATTAATGGCCTTGGAGTATAGGTACAGTGTAGAGGCATAATAAGGTTATAGTGATACAGATGTGCAGCTACCATTAACTGATTTCAAGTCACTGGAAAGTGGCTTCAGTCTTTCTTAATATTCTGTTAGTTGTTTCCATCCAGCAAATTTATAAAATTTTTTTTCATTTTAAAAAAAATACTACCAAGCAGAAATCCAGCAACTAATCTTGCACTAAAAGTTAATTAATCCACTCAATGTGTTCAGATGTTCTCCTGGTTTCCTTGATACTGTTCTTTCCTCAGCTAACTGATTATAAAAATTAAATACAAAGCATTGTTATGAAACCAACCTAGGTTGTTTCTGGGCGAAGTACATGAACATTTCCTGCCAAGCCTACAAATTTTGATGGATGCAGAACCTGGGATAGGGCACGCATGATGGGCCCAGTAATCCTTTAAGCATTTAAAGGGCACTCCAGCCAGGTCATCGGATCTGTGCCACTCTGGTGTGTAAATTGGGAGTCAAGGAATCCTGTATGTGCCCCATAAAAGAAAATCTAACAGGACTGAGGGTGGTGAAGAGCTTGTTACAAGGATGGTTGGAGGCAGACAAAGAGGAATCCAGGAATTCTAGAAAAATGGTAACCTGGGAAAGATGACACTTAGGATGGTATCGAGGAATCCTGAGAAAGGGAGGGACAGGAAAGAATCCAGGAGTTCTGAGGAAAACAACAAAGAGACCAGAATAAAACACGGACATGCCAAAAATAACAGGAACGAGTAAGGAAGGAGAAATCTTCGATATGACAGTGTGGCAATCACTGACCAAGGAACTGCAGAAGAGATTCTCCGCAGTCAGTTGATGCTGTGTGCAGACTTCATGTTAACAGAGCTGGGAGAAGTGCTCAGAGGGTGGGGCGTTGGGGAGAAGATGAGTTACTGTTTAAGCACTCCCAAGTTGAAATGATGTTGGAGGTAGTTAAGGAGTAGAGTCCTGGAGTGAAGAATGAAATCCCTCTGAAGGAAGATCAGAGTGTTAATGGGGCTTTTGTGACCCAGTCTACATTTAATATGTAGTTCATTGTGCTTGACCACAGTTTGCTGATTAATTTTTATGTCTTATTGATTGTTGTTGGAGTATAATGTAGATATTGCTTGATAATTCGTATTTACCCCTGATTTTGGATGTTAGGGTTTAAGATAGATATTGTAAGGTATTCTACATTTTTTAGTTGGTATTGTAGAGTTAATGTTTGTTAATAAGGGTGTGGGATTCCCAAACTTTAACTAAACGTCCTAAACAAAAGTGTACTGATCTGTAATCGGACAATGACCAAACTTGGTTCTGGGTCAGGAATAAAACCCGAAAGAATTGTGGATGCTGTAAATCCTGACCCAGAAACAGAAGTTTCTGGAAGCTCGGCAGCTCTGGCAGCATCTGTGAAGGAAAAAAATCAGAGTTAACGTTTCGGGTCCAGTGACCCTTCCTCAGGTTCTGAACCTGAGCAAAGGTCACCAGACCCAAAATGCTAACTCAGATTTTTTTCTTCATAGATGCTGCCAGAGCTGCTGAGCTTCCAGCAACTTCTGTTTCTGGGTCAGGATTGTTGGAAGCACAGTTATAAGTCATACAGCATGGATACAGATCCTTCGGTCCAACTCCTCCATATTGACCAAGTTGTCCAAACTAAACTAGTCCCACTTGCCTGCGTTTGGCCCAGATCCCTCTCAACCTTTCCTGTTCATGTACCTATCCAAATGTCTTCTAAATGCTGTAACTGTACATGCATCTACCACTTCCTCTGGCAGTTCATTCCACATATGAACCGCGCTCCATGTGAAAAAGTTGCCCCTCAGGCCCCTTTTAAATCTTTCTCCTCTCACCTTAAAAATATGCCCCTGAATTTTGAACTCCCCCACCTTGGGAAAGGACCTTTGCTATTCACCTTATCTGTGCTCTTCATGATTTTATAAACCTCTATAAGGTCACCCCTCCAACCTGTTTCACTCCAGTGAAAAAAAGTCCTAGCCTATCCAGCCTTCCCTTTATAATTAAAACCCTCCAGTTCCGGCAACATCCTGGTAAATCTTATCTGAACTCATCAATTTTGTAATATCCTTCCTTTAGCATGGTGACCAGAACTATACACAGCACTCCAAAAGTGATTTCAGCAATGTTCTGTATAATCTTATCAGACATCCAAACTCCTATACTCAATGGTCTGAACAATGAAGGAAAGCCTCCCACTTGCCAGTCATTCCTGTACCTGTGAATAAACTCCAATCAACTTTTGAAAGTTCCTTGAGGAGCAGTGATTTGAAAGTCAGTGTGTGCAAGTTATAATTGCTGAGGGAAAGCATTTTGGGTGCAAGACAGCAGTCTGCAGGAGAAACTAATGATAGTGGAGTGACTGGGGAAGGAGAAGTGGGCCAGTCTTGGAAGGATGACCGAATAGGTCTGTTTACTGGCAAAGAATATAGCTTAAAATGAGAAATTTGAGCGTATTTTACTTCAGGATGCATTAAATTTGAAGCCAATTGCATTCATGTGTTTTATTGCCAACTGAAAATAGCCTGAAGGCGAGCATCGTTAGCCCAGTAATAGCAATGGAAGATAGAGTATTTGACATTTGCTCCAGAGACATGACCTTGATTCTGTGATAACTGGTTGCCACATTTGCCTATTC